TACACTTTTATTTAATGTTTATTAAAATTACACCTTAAAATACTAGTTAGTGGTTGAAAGATTGGAAGGGAATAGAGAAATTAAGTGTTTTGTCAAAAACTACCAAAAATTACCAAAATTCGAGATAACTTAGTTTACTGGATATAGAGAAATAATTGCCACTTTTCACTTGGCTGGCCGAGATTTCTTAAATTTTACATTTTAGAATTTTTGTGTCGGACTGAAAAAGTTGCGCTTGTTGGTGATGAATTTACGGGGAGATGTGCTGCGGTTATTATGAATGAATTTATTTGGCCTTGAAAAATACGCGCATGCGTTTATGAATGAAATGGTTATTGTTGTATTTGAATATGTGCGTGATTATGTACACACGTGCATATGTATGTATGTATGTATGCTGAGTTGTAGATATGTATGCATGTGCGTAGTATTTGGCAGAAATATGCACATACGTATGAATGTACATACTTATGTACATATGCATGAATGTATGTATGCATTTATGTTATCAATTAATGGAGTACGTATTTACATACATATGCGGGGGAAATGCAATTTCATTTGACTGCAAAACTATTGGGGCATATTCGTAGACGAAATAAAGACGACTTTGAAGTTAAAGTTTGTCAACCCCAAATAAGAAGAAAGTTATTATATGTATATATAGTATGTGCATGTGTAAGGACGTTATCAATAAATAATTTTTGAGGTTGTTTATGTATGTTTGTACACATATGTATGTAGGAACGTTATCAATGCATAAATGATTTGGAGTATGTGCATTTTTACATATGTAGTGCATATGTAAGTACATACATACATCCGTATGCGCATGCGTGAGAAATAAAGTCGACTCTAAACTTAGTTGCAGTTTTTACAGATATTCTATTAAAAATTAAGTCAAAAATCTGTAGGTAACTAACTTTAGTGTCGACTTTATTTTGACTATGAATATGCCCCATTAATTACATATATGTATGTAATACGAGTATTGCAGTGGAAAATGATTATGCAACACATTTGCTCAAAATAAATGTTCATAAAACTCAAAAATAACTTTTCAAGAAAACCACTTTGAAGTTAACAAGTGCATTGCATTTGTACGTTTTTTTGTCAATGTGTCCATGTTTAAAGTAAATTTGTGAAAAAAACTAAGGCAGCTAGAAAACTGCGGTGTATTGCTTTGAAAATATCTAGCATAGAAGCTACCATAAGAACCGATAAAAAAGAAAAAGCCGATTTTTCGACCAAAAGCCCCTTTGAAATATCGTCGGCAAATCACCAAATACCCAATTTTCCAAACGACGTCGTAACGACGTCGTAACGACGTCGTTTCCGACTCGTTTTGGAGAACAATTTGTTCGCCGGCGACGGTCGCAAACGACTCGCCGGCGAACTCGCCGTCGGATGAAAAGCACACTTCACCGGCGGGTCGCAAAAACGACTTACCGGCGGATCGCAAAAACGACTCGCCGGCAGGTCGCAAAAACGACTCGCCGGCGGGTCGCAAAAACGACTCCCCTGCAGCACGCAAGAACGACATACCAGCGAACTGCAAAACGACGCTCAAAGTTGCTAGAAAATTAAAAACAATTTTTTTAGTTTAAAATAGTTTAATTTATTCATTGAATTTTTTTCAAAGTTTTTTAAATATACATAAATACTTACATATTAATAAAAAAGAAAAATAAAGTCATAAAACACAAACAAAAATTTTAAAATATTTTAATATAATATAAGTTTTAACAATTCATTTTTTTGTTACTTCATTTTAGTTATCTTTAAAATTAATTAAAATTGGGTTTATTTTTTAACAAGGACCATGTAGTTAAAAATTAAAGTAATGTGCAGTATACATCCATACATATATATGTATACATAAAAAAATTTCAACAAGCTTTCATAAAAATTTAAAGCTTTTTAATCTGCATTTAAGAAACACATAGGAAGCAGTTTTATAGTCCTTAAAATGTTAGTATAATAGAACACAGGTTTGAAGTAAAACAAAGCTCACATTGATTTTTGGTGTTATTTTTTTGCGGTACTGCGCATTTTAATCCATATGAATCTTATGACAGAAAATGCATGCTTTAAGGCACTTCAACCTTGTATTCTATTATCCATACCAAACTTCAATGGACTTTAAAACTGTGTGTCTTTAATGCAGAATAAAAATCTTAAAATTTTTATAAAAGCTTGTTAATTTTTTTTATATGCACATACATGCATATGTATATTGCGGAACTTTGAATTTTGAACTATAATGTCCTTGTTAAAAAATAAACCCAATTTTTATAAAGATAACTAAAATGAAGTAACAAAAAAATTAATTTTTAAAACTTATCAATATGACAGATAGTATATTTATGCAGACGACTGTGAAACATTTCTTTTATTCCGTTTTGAGATCCTGTCTCCAGCATAATGGAAATATCTTTTGGTTATTCGCTCTATTATTTCCACAGATTCGTTGAATTTTTGCTGGAACGCTTCTGAAATAATATTTAAAGTATAATAATCATTTTTGAGAGCTGGGCATCAACAATTAAAGCGTACTTCTAATTTCCGCTGTTGTGATGAGATGCCGCTAATTTTCTCCATTTTGAGTCCCTTCTGTCACCTGAAAAAGACTTGCGTGCCAAATGAACTTTTCTCTCAA